GAGCAATAGAATTCTTATATGAAAATTTTTCAAGATAGCAAATGTTATCAATGCCCTTCTGACGGGATGCAAAGAAAACAAAAAGTTATTAAGCCAAGAACAGTTTTTTAAAATGTATCCTTTATAAAGCTATAAGATTACTTTATAATAATTGCTATAAATTTTTTTTTTTTGCTTTTTTTTTATAATAAAATTTTTAACTCCTTTCCTTTGTTCCAATATAGTTCTGATCTTGCTTCCTCTATGATATCTGCGTTGGGTGTGTATTTACTTTTAACTTGATTCATCAGGAACGCGAAACTTAAGTATGTAAATTCCTGTCATTTGTTTCATTTAGATTATGAGCTTCAACTTCGCCATCTTGAGATCCTTTTCAGATTATGTCCAAGAGTGCAAAAAGATCGTGAAATTTTTGCAAATAAAGCATTTATGGATCAAACTATTGTACCAAAATTTCTTGGTATTACTGCCAACGAATTTTTCGAGGTACATAATTATTTGACGTTGATATTGTATTACACAATTTTATTTTGTTTGACTGATTGACTGATTGATATTATAGGATTCGAGATATTTCTTGAATGAGATCAATGCAAATAATGATGGGGTATCAAAAACGTTTGTATATTTTTTTATATATTATCTATGCTACTGTTAAGCTCTTTACATTATAATTCTCACAATTATTGTTGCTGATAGACCAAAAACTTTTAAAGTTTCACGCATGAAGTATAATAAATGTGAATTATATAGTCCTGAGGGTCAACGTTACTTCTTTGTGGATTTTAATAAATGGACAATATCTATGACAATATCCACAACAATACCCACAGAGGTTAATTTATATTTTAATAAGTGCTCTTTTTCATTCATAATATCTCCCCTTATACTAAGTCAGCGAAAAAATTTTCAGGAGGATGATTCTACTGATATTGATGTAATAGATATCAAATATTCAAAAATATCATCATGGGATTTTCAATGTAACTCTGGTAAATAAATAAGATAAATAAATGAATAAAAAAAATAACTTAATAATATGTAAATTGATTCATTTTTCCTTTCAATTATTAGGCCTAATCTTGAAATTATACCTTTCTGAACCTTTGAAACTTGGTGGTCAAAATCCTTCCGTTAATGAACACGTTCTTAATATGACATTTGATCCTGTTGAAAGCAGGATAAAAGAAAGCATTGAAAGAATATTTAATAATCAAAAAGTTGTGAGTTTAAAAAAATATATTATTTGATTATTTATTCATTATTTAATAAATAACCAAATTATTATATTTATATCTTATTATTTATATAATCCAGAAATCAAGAACACAGCAACCAAAGGTGTCTGTTTCCATAGGAATTTTACAGCCGCATTCTTCTTCATTCAATGCAGCAACTGCTCTTGATACTTTATCGAAATCTTTAGAAGCTTCTAAAACACCTACATCTGAACGAATTGATAAACATATTAACATACCAAAAGATACAGATTTCGACGAAGATGCTACTCTAGTAAATGTTGATAAATCTCAAAATAATTTATCTACATTCAGTAATATTCTTGCGAAAAGTCGTAGTCAATTGTCAAAAAATATTACACCTCCTCCTTTACCAATGTCATCTTCATCAAATGAAAATTCTCCATGTAACAACACAAATTCTATGGATCATAAATCAATAACGCAAATACTAGAGAATAATTACAATGTCAATCATAGATATGCTTTTCCACCACCAAAACAGCGAACAAAACCTTTGAATTTGTCTGCTTCAAAGCAAAAAAACAAGATTAATAATAATGTTGATCTTGTTATTGAAAAAGACTGCGAAATTATTACAAATAATTCAATATTAAACAATGAATGTTCGAGTCCAAGTGCCGCGCGAAGTTGTCAGAACGTTTCAACATCTGTCAATGATGAGATCAGAAGGTCGACCATAAATAGTATACAAAAGCGAACAGATCAACCGAAATACGGTAAAGAAGATATAGTAAAAAGACAACCAGAATTTAGAAATGATAATACAAAGAAATCAAATGGTAAAGATCTTGAGAAAGTGCGAAACCAATCAAACGTCACAAAAAATCACGATGCTGCTTCAGTAAAAAACGACAAACGACTTGGTTTACCACACACAAACGAAAATTGCAACCGCAACTCTTTAATTGATTACAAAGGAAGTGCTACAAGAAAAAATTTATTCAATAATTTCGCTTACAAAAACAAGAATGATTCCGGTGAAAACCCTGAAATAGGTCACGGAAGGAGTAAACGAAAAACTCTGGATTTAAATGATGACGACCCGGAAGATCCAGAGCAGTATCGAAATGACGATCAAGTCAAAGGCAATTCTAATTATCGAGTTGTGACAAAAAAAGGAGGAAAAAAATTAATTGTGGTATAAAAATGAAAGATTAAACCCGTTTTATTATTTGTCACGATTTTGTTGCTTAAAAATTTAAAAAAAATTAGGTCAATGAAGATGAAAGCCAAACGATGAGCGAAGAAGAATTTTGGAATCCAAGGCAA